ACTAGGGATGATACATCGAAACTGACGAGAATGTCTTGGAGATCGACCGTGAGGGAGGAGATTAAGGTGATGAAATGTGTGGAATTTCGGACATAAGAAGAGGACGACAAATTCAGAATCTTCGGGTAATACTCCTGTGGCTTTTCTTCCGTATATTCGAAATGTCACTGATAGGATTGGCAAAATTCTTCGCAAAGAAGGTATCAGGACTACTTTTCGACCACCCAAGAAAATCTCACAATATCTACCCTCTCCTAAGGACCCATTACCGCCCCTATCTTCCTGTGGTGTCTATTCTATTCCTTGTTCATGTGGACATGTGTATATTGGCGAAACTGGTCGTTCCGTCAAAACTCGGATTCAAGAGCATCAAAGATGCATTCGATCAGGTCTTTTCTTCCATTCTGCAGTTGCAGAACACTACCAAGAAACCGGTCATTCCATATTGTTCGAAAAAAACCCATATTATTTCTATGAGCCCCTTCTTTTATTCCAGGAAAATCCGCGAATCTCTAGAGATCCGAAAAAATCCACATAATCAGCCATATTCTGTAACTACAAATCGAATAGAAATGAGTCAAATCGAGTAGAGGTCAGCAAGTCGGATCGGAATTTGTAGGAATCGGTATTCTGTAACTCATCTCGACCTCTACTATCGGAATGTTGTGTAGAAATTGATTTCGACTAGACAAGCTCTGTCGAGATCAAATTTCGACATCGAAATTGGTCTTGACGCTTGCGCATTGGTTGTTTTGACATTTATTTGTTGACTTTTTGATCTAAATTAGCGGTTGATTAATTTTTGTAGCTACTTCATTTTTTAGTCTGTGGTGTTATTTATTTAGATAAAGTTTACTAAATAATTTAACTGCTCAGCAAATGTCTTTTTCTTTGCTTTCCCGCTTGCCATTTTGTATTCTTGTAACGAACTTTTCAAACTTAACCAAAACATGTCAAAACTACTTGACGTGAAATATAATCTTCTTTTTTGATGAATTTTTCGCGAGCACTAGCCTTTCCAGTAACTTAACGTCACAGAACACTTCTTTCGCGTTCAATGCGGGGTTGCCACCAACTTCTGAGCGCGTCAAGTAGAAGTTGACGTTTTCGATTTACACCGATTACGATGTGAGTTACAGAATGCCAATCCAAACACAAAAACGACGCGATAGATATCCAACATTCCGATTTCGAGTAATTACGATTCGACTTGGTGATTTCTATTCGATTTGTCAAAAGTTACAGAATAGATCTGAATATCAATCGAGAGGAAGGATACTACTTGTCTCCCATCTGGAATCTCAGTCTAGAGCCGCCGTCCGGTCCCGCTACCACGATGCAGCCACATGATTGGCCAGCGCGCGCTTCTTGACGTTCGCGCCACGAAGTGTGCCGATACGTCCCGACACAACAGGTTACCGCGACTATAAATAGAGCGGTAGCGGAGTAATCGTCGGATTCACTCCCCGCCTCTCGACGCGTTAGTGTTCTGAGCTGTTGGACGTGAATCCCTGTCCTGGCCATTTGGTTTTCACCTCTGGCTGCGTTGAGTAGTTGAGTTACTGTGACCAAATGCCCATCTTGGTAGTTAGTATTCGCCTCTGGTTGCGTTGAGTAACTGAGTTACCGTTGCTAACTACCCATCTTCCTGTCTTTTGTTTTCTTTTTCTTTGTTCTCCTGAAGAAGCTACATACAATTGTAGCGAACCGTCGAGATGAACCCACTTTTGGGTCACTCACAAATGACACGGTCCAAACCCGGAAGACGAATAAACTATAATTCTGACTCTGGCCGTGGAAGCCTACGATTTCATTAGGTAAGGTAATTTTAAACACAAATGTTTATAGCATTTTTTGTGTAGAATAAACCGTTCTCTTAGGGAGAGCGCCCACCAAACTGACTTGGCAAAGGGCAAGTAGCGCGCGTCTAGCATGTTACTTAAAATGTAACCAATGAAAACGAATGATTTAGTGCACACCAAAATGACAGTGACGTCATTCATTTTAATCATTCGTTTCCATTGGTTACATTTTAAGTAACATGCTAGACGCGCGCTACTTACCACGCTAGTTTGGTGGCGCTCTTACTTGGAAAGAGCACCCACCAAACTGGCATAGCTCACTTAGAATCAACGCTTGAAGCGACCGTCTATTTTGCATTTTAGTTAAGCATGCGAATTCAATGTTCAATACAATTTGTATCAGCTGGACGGTAAAAATTCGATATCTTTTGATCCAAATGTCATATCGACAAAAACCAAGATGCATTTTAAAGGCAAAGAGTGAAGCCTTCGTATGCAGTTTTTGTATTTTGCCGAAAATAAACTCAGTTTTTATAAAGGTGGTAAATAAATAAACGTGGCGCGATATTTGCCATTTTTTGCGACTCTCGTGAGATCAATGAAATTGATCACTTTAATTGACCAGTATTCTATCCAGTTTATGAATGTTAACGTGAGTGTGTGTTGACTGTATTGTTTGAGTGCGCTTGTATTTGAATTCTTTACACCCGTTCGGAACCCTAAACCGGCAGCATTTTTTAAATTCAGTATGGCATCTAAAAGAAAACTGAATTTAGAAGAATTGTCAAGATTTGTACCAGACGATATGTTCAAGTTTTTGGATGGTATCTCCGTAGATCAGGCGACTGTCTCTGATGTGGGAGTAGATTCAGATGCTGAAGATAGTTTTCCCACTTTAGGGCTATCTTCAGCATCTATCAAGATCGGGGAGAGGAAAAAGAATTTATAAAGAAATGCATGGTGTCGACAGCGATGATTCAGTGTATGACCTCGACTAGTCGAAGACTATCTGTATCTTCTGATGAGGAAACTTCAGATTCGGTTGTCACACCACTTCAGGAGCCGATCTTAACCTCATATCTTCGAAGCAGTAACATTTGCCGAACTTATATCATTTTTCACCTCATATCGTTTGTTCCTAATGGTCGTCGATTTTAATCGTTTTGCTCAGCAAAATGACAAAACGTTGAGTTTGTTACTGAATGAGCTAAAAGTATTTATTAGTATGCTAATTATTATGGGCCACAACCACTTGCCGAGTTTACGTTTGTATTGGTCGACGGATCCAAATTTTCATTCATCTATCTATATCTATCCTATCTTTTCCCAAAATAGAATATCTAATATCATGCCCGTGAAAAGGTTTTTAAAAATTCTACGATATTTGGACATTAGTAATAACCAGGAAATGCCGAAAAGGGGAGTCCCAAATTTCGACAAGTTGTACAAGGTAAAACCTTTAATTTCCTATTTGAAGGAAAAATTTCCGGACGCATATAGTCCAAGTAGAAATTTAGTTGTAGGTGAAAGTATGGTTGCTTTAAAAGGTAGAAACAGTCTAAAACGATACATGCGGATGAAGCCAATAAAAAGAGGCTTCAAAGTATGGGCTCTAGCATGCTCTGGAACTGATTATTTGTTAAATTTCTCTGTATATGAAGGCAAAATGGAAAGTAATGAAGAGGTCCTCTCTGTGAACAATCTGTTTTTGGAATCAACCCAGCCTTTTGTAGGAAAGTATTACTGTATCTACTTCGATATTTTTTTTACCAGCTTTGTATTGTTCTCCAAGCTTCTGGATCGGAAATTGTTTGGTTGTGGAACTATAAGATTCAATATAGAAAAAATTTTCTCTCGGACGAACTGGTACCCGATAAAAATTTACAGACTGGCGACGCGACGTAGCGACAGTGTTGCTACGTACAACCAACGATGAAGGATGTTGTTTGTAGTATACAATAAGTTATAGTGTACTAATTTGCCAATTTAAAGACAATTATATAAAAACGCAAAGATCAAGTAATAACCAGCGGATTAAAAGGGCCAAAGACATTTAAGTATAGACTTTTTTATTTTCTCTATGTGATGTATTTATTTGTTTTGTTTATATTGTTTAAGTTTATATTTGTTTCCATAGATTTAAAAACATCAAAATCACCTTAAATACAGTAGATAAAAAAATAATAACGCCGTTACCATATTTCCCCAACCCTTTTGTTTACATGTCTTACGAATTTTGTATAAGAAACTGGTGGAGAGAAAGAAAACGGAAGTAAGGATGGAAGAAAAATGAGAAATATTTAAAGAAGTAGAATTCTAATAATAAAGAAGGCAGAGGAAATATGCGGAAAATATCAATGAAGAAATAAAACGGATTGGTGGAATACAGACATACAAGATGAATGGACAAAAAAGAAAATGGCCTGGAAAATTATGGAGACAGAAACAGAAGTTTCTGAAACAAAGTAAGAAGATTAAGAGGAATGACAAGATCTCATAGGAGTAAGAGACAAAGAACCAAATATAGTAGAAAAACTAGAAGTGTTTTTAGCAGTTTTAAGGAAAATGCGATTGACATTGGCAAACCATCGAACATTGTTCGGTGGGAAAACACTGACAACGCTGCACTGTCAACGTCAACTTTTAATTTCAAAAACCGATGTTTGAAAGTGTTGCTCAAAAGTCAAACCAAACCAAAGTGCTCAAATCTGAATTAGTTGCTGGTAGTAATTACATAATTAGAATTATCTGTGTATGTATTCTCACTCCCAATTTTCTGTACTCGTACCTCGTACTCTATAATGTGATAATTGTTTCTAACCTTTGTAACAAAGATTTCGCTTTCGATTCGCATGTAAGTATGGTAATATAGTACTTCTCTATGTCTATACAAAATGAAAACGTAACGTAACAAACTGATATCACAAATATAAACACAACACAGCGTGGTTACCGTTTAAACTTATCTTACAAATATATTTTATTTTGTTGTGGTTAAGGAAGCTAGCATGCTTCATATACATTTGTTTATTTTTAAATATAAATTTTTTAGACTCGACTCAGCAACCTAGATAAATGGTTTAGAGCCAGACTGCATTGAGGTGTGCTGCTAAATCGTCATAGAGCAGAACTGACAATCCAAAAAGAATTGTATCTAGGCTAAAGCTGCATATTAGACCTGGATTTTGTAAAAAAAAAATGGAAGTAAAACAAGAAGTTGATGAGAATATTATATGTAAAACAGAAATACATAATAATGATGTGGAAAATAGTCAACTCGATATCTACAAAATTGAGATTAAGGAAGAGCCCAAGATAGAAAATGCAGGTGACATCTTTGATCATTTAGACTTAAAGGAATACCCTGCAAAGACAGAAATAGATGAAGATAAATTTGTGCCAGTTGAAGAAAAACAAACAAATGAAACAGGTAAGCCATATAATTGGAACCATTATAACAGTAGCTAAAAGGTGGCAGCTGTATCTCAGTGGCTAGATACTGTTAGCACTGCTCAGTGTTATTTGTTCTATATTCAATAAAAATACATTTTTGCATATAATCTAGATTAACTGTCTACAATTGAGGGGTGATAGCAAAAACCCCATTAATCAAAAAATTACATTTTTTTGAAAACAGAAAAAAACATATCCTTGTCCATGAGTGCCATAGATTCACACATTTAAATTCTGTTAGCATTGGTATCGCTAACAACATATACCAGGATCCGGATATCATAACATTCATTAAAATAGGAAGGCTACGTTGGATTGGACATGTGGAAAGAATGGAAGAAGGCGAAATACCAAACAAAATATTCAAACAAGTGCCAGTAGGAAAAAGAACAAGAGGAAGACCGAAGCTGAGATACGTAGAACAAATAGAAAATGATATAACAACATTAAAAATTAAAAACTGGAAAAAAAAGCACGAAACAGGTCAGAATGGAGAAGAATCCTTGAACAGGCCAAGACCCAAAAAGGGTTGTCGAGCCAGTGATGATGATGATTGGTATCGCTCATGTTGAATTATTCTTGTGAAACATATATCCCCCTCATTTGGTAGTGGTAAATGTCTTTAACATATGGGGGTTTTGCAGAATTCTGCAATGCCTCATATTTGTCGCCTGAATCAAAATTTTATGTAATAGATTTTGAAGATTAACTCTAACATTGGAAATATTTTACAAACTTAGTTTAGGTAGGGAATCACAAATTTAAGTATTTTAACAATATAGAATATTACTTTGAATTGTGCGAACAATAAACTAATAAATGCTGTCCAAATTTTTTTAACGCAAACATGGCTTCTGAGTACATATATTTGTAAATGGAAAAACTTCTTTATACATCAATACTGATATAACAAGGGCATTTTCCAAATGTACAGTTTTTTCTGTTTATCTAAGAAAAAATATGAGCATAAATTAAAAGCACTTAATTAAGTCCATTATATGCTTTTGTTTTAGTCAAACAAAAGCAAGCTAATGCTATTGTACGAAAGAAAAATGTTAAGTAACCTTTCATTCAACTATTAAATGATTTGAATTTTTAAGGTCCCATTTTTTCATCACAAGAATTGAAAAAACTGCCTGAGAAAAACAAATACATCGATTTATTACGAACTAACCTTATGTCATCACGTACCTATTAAAAAATATTCTCATATAAAAAAATTGAGTTGTGAACTTTAGTTCTCTTTGTAATCTTCTTCTTCTTTTGGTGCCTATCCTCTGTGTATGTTGGCAATCACGTTGGTTTATACAACTTTGTTGACAGCTGCTCTAAATAGATGTATGGTAGTCATTCCTGAAAACTGTCTTATGTTCTTCAACGACAATGTCCTTCTGCGCCCTTGAGATCTTTTGCCTTGCAAAATTAGTTGGATACTTCTGATTGCGCATCACGTGCCCTAAGTATGTCATCTTTCTGATTTTCATGATACGCATAATTTCCAGATCTTTATTCATACATTGGATCACGGTGTTGTTTGTAACATGATGGATATAGGAAATTCTGAGCATGCAGCGGTAGCACCACATCTCGAAGGCTTCTAATCGTTTGGATGTTGCCTCCGTCAAGGTACAGGCTTCAACTCTATATAAAAGGGTAGAAAATACATAGCATCTTAAGACTCATGTTCTTATATCAATGTTGAGGTGCATATTACATAAAATCTTCCTGAGGCGATTGAAGACAGCTCTCGCATTTTCTCTATGGCATCTTATTTCCTGTGAGTGGTCCCATTCCTTATTTAGGCTGCATCCAAAATATGTAATTTTGTCGAATATTTTCAAGGGTTCATTATTAGCTGTGAATTGGAGCTGTATTATGTGGTTTTTTTGTAATATGGAGTTTAATCCAAGTAACTAAGTTGAAGAACTGTTTATTTTCGGCAGTTTCAAATCACAATTCAAAATTATAGAGACACATCTTACCTACTGGTTCCAATTTTACAATAAAAGTGATTTTTAAAATTTTAACATCTCAATAAAAAATTTTAAATAGAGCTATAAACTGGCAGATTTTGTAACTCTTATTCAAGAACAAAATTCAATTTTAGCAAAACCTCATTTTAATAAAAAAAAAGCCACAAAAACTTTAATAAACACAAATATCACGATTTTAAAAACGAAAAAGTATGTGTACAGTGGGTCCACAGCACACTAACAGACGCTAATGTTTAAAACAACTCTTAGCGTGACGTAGTCACGCCAAATAGGACCCGCCCACAAATGCGCAACATATTATCTTTAGTTGAGTGTATCGTGTGTAGGTACTGATCCAAAGTGAAGACAGTATGGATGACGAAACATTTGTTTTGATTGTACAAAATTATAAAGAAGTGTATAATATTTCGGATGAGAACTACCACAACCAAATGAGGCGTGATAATATTTGGGAACAAATAGGTGAAAAATGTCAACAGAAAGGTTTAAAAATTACAGTTTTACAATATCTTTAATTTTAAAAATTACATATATAGTTATTTACATATTTCTAATAGTCCACGTTTATGTATATAAAGGGAAATAGTACAATGTTTTATGAGTGTAAAAGTGATACTTTTTGTGGTTAGATTGCTTATATTTGCAAACTAACGACAAAAAGTCACTATTGCTCCAAATAAAATATACTTACTCTTTTTTCTTCAAACGTTACAAATTAAGATAAACTTCAAAGTACTTAATATTACAGTTTTCCCCAAGCTTCAGTAAAAAGTCTTTTAGGGACTATCCAGTGAAAAGTGCTGCTATCCTTTTGTTTGTAATGGTAGAAGTTTTAAAAATATTTATTTTTTAATGCCTTGTCATTACAATTTTTTTATGACATTACTTAATCTATAATTAAATATATTTTTTTAATATTTGTGTCCCAGGAAATGGTCTCATTAAGTGGGAAAGCTTCATCTGCAACTATTAAGTAGGGTAGTAACGTATTGGTCTCTGGTAAACACTTATTTGGTGGAAGATGTCATTCATTCTTGAAGAATCTCTTACCAAATTCAGAATTGACAAATACACCACCATCACTATTTCTTCCGTAATCTTATAATTAGCATCAACAAGAACATGGAGAATAATGCTGAAGCTCTTTTTATAGTTGAAGTAGAGTGAACCACTATTTGGAGACTTCTCTGTGATGACATGCTTTCCATCAATGGCTCCTATGCAATTTGAAAAGTTCCATTTATGTTGAAATTCCTTTTCTACTAGTTTCCATTGATTCTCGTTTGTCGTTGGCATATAAATTGGACCTAGATTTTTTCAAATTTCTCCACATAATTCATAAACAATGTTTCTCACGGCAGTCTTCCCAAGCCTGTAACTGAATGCTATGGTTCTGAAAGTATCTCCAGTTGTTAAAAACGTAGAATACATTTTTTCTTTATATAAAATAGGCACATCTGAACTCAACCAAGTATATACAAGCCGAGGCACACTTCGTACAAATGGTTATTTTATAATAAATTAATTTTCGTTTTGTCATAAAAGCCTGAATGTCATGCCATCACTTACTAATGTCGCGCATGTTTTTGTTGGAAATAATACCAAATTTCTTGAATTTCAGAAGTTGTGTAGACTGGGGTAGTTCGTAGGTAATTTATGTATAATAATGAAAGGCAACAGCCCTCTTGTCATAGGCAGTTAACGAAATTATAAATTTATACACACTACCAGGCGCAGCCCTTGCGAGTTCATAGGGAAGGCAAAGAAGTCCAATTTATGTGGCTTCATCACAATATAGAGTACTTGATTAGTCATCAGTACATAATTCGCCTTGTTACTTTCAGTAACCACTGAAATATCGGAGTTTTCAACCTCCATTATGGCGAGTACTGTTAAAGAAATATTTTGGATAGATCTCGATCAACACAAATATATTGTCTTTTATCTTCAGAAGAAGAATACCGAAAGAGATGGAGAAATCTGAGGGAGTGTTACAGAAGAGCCTTAAAAGCAAGAAAATCTAAAAGCGGCCAAGCAGATATTAAAATCAAAACTAGACTAAGGCGACTAGAAAAACAAATGAGTTTCATGCAACCATTTTTAGCAGACCAAGAATAGTATTTAAATGATCCTGCTACAAATCTTGCAAAAGGTGAACCTATAAATGAGGCCAACTGTGATGATTCAGATGCATCTTCCCCTTCGCCCAGCACTTCTTCCGCAGATACAAAAAGCACCCTTCGTCAAAACTATAAAACGGGCCCTAAAATGTTTGTTTTTTATTATAGGATATTATATTTATTCCTTTATATTATATGTATAAAAATAAAAGTACAAACATATAAAATCAAACAGAATTAACTCGGTACAATTAACATTATTAATAATATCAATACAGTTTGTTTAAATTATCACTATTAATAAGAAAATAATGAGCACTACAAAACTCGTAAGTGTACTACGAAGCTATTAAAATTTCAAAACATGATACCCTTCAAACCAATTAAGTTCTAATCAATGACAAACTGAAGATTGCACAAACACACACACACACACACCGATCACGCATCCCGCTGTGTTTGCTTTAAGCTTGTTTTGAATCTGAACAGTCCATAGTGTGGTTCTTGTCAGAAACTCATTGACTTGTGGGCTTTTCATGGAATCTAGTGTTATTGAATAGCTTCTACAGTCCGACTTGTGGTGTTTTTGAAGGAATCAGCAATCTCCAGATGATGGTACTTTATAAATCTAAAAGATAGCAGGTCTAACTCATTTTGCTTTATTGACTGACTAACGGGGTGTTTGCTATCAACCCATCAATTATACATTTTGTTACTTACTTTTAATACCGATTTAGTAGATAACTATGATTTTAGGTTTCCTTTGTGAAGACATACAAAATGATACAAGCGACATAATAAAAGAAGATGATATTGTAATTGAAGAAAACGTATTTACCTCTAAAATTTGTCCTAAAGTGTGTATAAAGAATTCATCCTTAAAACAACATATGAGAGTCCACAATGGGGAAAAACCTTTCACATGCAAAATATGCTCCAAACAGTTTTCACAAAGTTCTTCCTTAAAATCACACATGAAAACGCATACTGGAGAAAAACCATTTGAATGCGAGATTTGCAACAAACAATATTCAAAAAAATACAGCTTAAAAGTACATATGAGTGTACACACTGGAAATAAGCCTTATGTATGTGAAATTTGTACCAAAACATTTTCAACCAAGGAAAATTTAAAAGGACACATGCTAGTGCATACCGGTGAAAAACCTTTTACATGTCAAATATGCACCAAAAAGTTTCCAAATAACTCTCGTTTAAACTCACACACGAAAACGCATACTGGTTTGCTGAAAATCTCCTGTGAAATTTGTAACAAACAATTTTCACAAAAGTCTTATTTAAAAACACATATGAAAATGCACACAGGAGAAAAACCTTATGCATGTGAAATTTGCAACAGGCTGTTTCCACAACATTCTACCCTAAAAGCACATATGAGAGTACACACTGGAGATAAACCTTTTACATGTGAAATTTGCGGCAAACAGTTTTCTTTTAAATGTAATTTAAAAGAGCATATATTAATGCATACCGGCGAAAAACCTCTTACATGCAAAATATGCTCTAGACGGTTTTCACGAAGTTATTCTTTAAAATTACACATGAACACGCATACTGGAGAAAACCTATTTAAATGCGAAATTTGCACCAAACAATTTGCAAAAAAATACTGCTTTAAAGTACATATGAGAATACACTATGAGGATAAATCTTTTACATGCGAAATTTGCAACAAAAAATTTTTAGAAAAGAATAATTTAAAGGTGCATATGAGAATCCATAATGGAGAAAAACCTTTTGCATGTGAAATTTGCACTAAACTGTTTTCATCAAAGTCAAATTTAAAAGTGCATATTGTGAAAATGCATACCAGTGACAAAATTTTTCCATGCACAATGTGCACAAAAAAATATACGCAAAGTTATTCTTTAAATTCACACATGAAAACGCACATTGGGGAAAAGTCCTTTACATGTGAAATTTGCACCAAACAGTTTTCCGGTAATTATTACTTAAAGGTGCATATGAGAATCCATAATGGAGAAAAACCTTTTGCATGTGAAATTTGCACTAAACCGTTTGCATCAAAGTCAGCTTTGAAAGTACACATGTTCGTGCATACTGGTGAAAAACCTTTCACATGCAAAATATGTTTCAAACAGTTTTCACTAAGTTATTCTTTAAAAGTACACATAAAAACCCATACTGGAGAAAAACCATTTAAATGCGAAATATGTACCAAACAGTTTTCACAAAGTTTTTATTTAAAATCACACATGAAAATGCATACTGGAGAAAAACCATTTAAATGCGAAATTTGCAACAAACAATTTTCAAAAAAATTCCGCTTAAAAGTACATATGAGTATACACACTGGGGATGTACCTTTTAAATGCGAAATTTGCAACAAACAGTTTTTAGAAAATTCTATTTTACAGGCGCATATGCGAATCCATAATGGAGAAAAACCTTTTGCATGTGTAATTTGTTTTACACAGTTTTTAACAATGTCTCAATTAAAGGCGCATGTTGTGATCAAACATACTAGTGACAAATCTTTTCCATGCACGATATGCTCAAAACAGTTTCCGCTAAGTTCTTATTTAAAATCACACATGAAAACGCACACTGGGGAAAAGTCATTTACATGTAAAATTTGCACCAAACAGTTTTTAAAAAACTCTTACTTAAAGGCGCATATTATGAGAGTCCATAATGGAGAAAAACCTTTTGCGTGTGAAATTTGCACTAAACCGTTTTCATCAAGGTCAGCTTTAAAAGTTCACATGTTAGTGCATACCGGTGAAAAAAATTTCACATGCAAAATATGTTTCAAACGGTTCTCATTAAATTCTTCTTTAAAAGTACACATAAAAACCCATACTGGAGAAAAGCCATTTAAATGCGAAATATGTGCCAAACAGTTTTCACAAAGAATTAATTTAAAGTTTCATATGGAAATACACAGTGAAGAAAAATCATTTGTATGCGAAATTTGTAACCAAAGATTTTCAAGAAGTTTTCGCTTAAAATCACACATGAAAACACATACCGGAGAAAAACCTTTTGCAAACGAAATTTGCAATACTGAGTTTCTAGAAAATTCGAGCTTAAAGGTAGAGAGAAATACAGAAAGTTTTAACGAAGGAAAATAAAAAAAATAGAGCACACTGGATAAATCCGAATTAAGGTAATGAATCAGTATTGGTCAGTGTTAAGGATTGAAATAAAACAAAAATATATTTTTGGCGCCTACTTTAAGTTATAATTCCAACTAAAATTTTAATAAACGCTTGAGATGTGTATTATTTACAATTTTTTTTTTTTTTTATTTTTATTTAAATTAATGTGTCTCGGCTGCAATGGCCATTGACACAAACAATATAATATACAATATAAATACAATAATTACAATAAGTACATATTACTAATTGCTACAGTTACTCTATAAGCTTAGAACCTATGATTAAATAATACAATAGTTTTATCACAAAGTTAAATATAAGTTAAGGTAAAGTACAAGAAAAACAAGGGGTCATATTCTATTAAACAACTGAATGTCTTTCAAGAAACCAATTAGCTTAAAGACTTGATCGGGCGAGTTTAAAATGTCTTTGATATTTGGCTTAAGTTTATGTTGCACTCTGTGTTTTGCGTACCGGGGACACTCGATTAGGATATGTTTCACAGTTAATACACTTGAGCAGATTTGGCAATTGGGCTTCGGCACGGATTTCATTAAATACTCATGTGTAAATCGGGTATGTCCTATTCTTAACCTTCGGATGACAGCTTTTTCCTTTCTAGACATTTTTGGAAGTTCAAATTTTTCAACAGTTTGCCGGATCTCATGTAATGCACTCTTGATTGTGTTCCAGTAGGTTTGCCAGGAATGATACTGTTGCTGCTTAAGAATTTGCTTTAAGTCATTACAGATTTGAATATGTTGAGCTTCTGAGGATTTACTGTTTACACAAGAAGCTTGCTTGGCTGATTGGTCTGCTTTTTCATTACCAGGGATGCCGACATGGGATGGTAACCAGATGATCGTGACATCTACACCTTGAGAAGCGAGAGCACTGTGTATCCTATGGATTTCTTGCACTAAGGGATGCTGAGAGTATAGGCTTTTAATCGATTGTAGTGACGACAGGGAGTCTGTGCATATTGCTTGGTTTTTATGATCTGTTTTTAGTTTTTTAAAAGCCTCTAGTATCGCATAAAGTTCTCCAGTATATACGCTGCATATACTCGGTAAAAAAGATAATTTTATTACTTCATCATGTGTGGTAACGGCACATCCAACGCCTGCTTCGCTTTTGGAGGCATCTGTATACAAAATTGTTTGGAATTTGTTCCTGCTTATGATTTCTTTGAAGTGTTGCCTTATGAGAAGGCTTGAGGTTTCATGTTTACTGTATTCTAATAGGGAAGTGATTGAATGTGGGATTGGTGTATTCCAGGGCGGAGTATCTGGGATTGGGAAGGGATGTGTTTTAGTAAGGTCGATGGTGTTTCTTAGAGTTAATTTCTGGATATCTATTATTGATTGGATCCTTTGTGAGGTCTCCGGAGGCGATGTTGAAGTAATTAAATGGTAGACTGGATTGGATGGGTTTGCGGATACGGAAGCAAAGTAAGATTGAAGAAGATACTCTCGTCGAATCCAGAGAGGTGGTTCATTAGCCTCGCAGTAAAGGCTATCTATGGGACTAGATTTGAAAGCGCCTAAGCAAAGACGAATAGAAGTGTTATGCACAGAGTTCAGTAGCTTTAAGTCAGATTTTGATGCAGACATGTATATGATGCTGCCGTAGTCCAGTTTTGAGCGGATTAAAGCTCTATATATATTAAGTAAGATGGTTTCGTCCGCACCCCATGTGTACTTTGATAGTGCCTTGATCATATTGAGTCTCTTCATTGCATTGCCCTTTAATACACTAATATGCTGTTTCCAAGTTAGCCTACTGTCAAACGTTAAACCAAGTATTTTTTGATGGGTGACTAGTTGCAATGGAGTTCCATTAAGGGTGATAA